TGTGTGTTTCGTTGTGAAAGCGAAACTACTTTGTTTGGCCTTCCAAAAGAGGACACAACTAGAAATCAGTGGTTAAGTTGTATTTACAACACTGTTCCAGAACAGTTCAACCCAAATATTCAGATGTGTGCAACGCATTTTACGGAGGACGAGGACTGTTTCCTGGGAGAGTAGACTACAATGCCGGTGTTCCGGTGAATTCAGCTCCCCTGTTTCCCCTTCGGCGCGCATGCTGACCCTATACAGTCTATGATGCTGACAAATAATGCTGACTCACAGCCTGTAAGTATGTTTTCATATTTAAAGGATTTGCCACTGACGATTCAAACGTGAGTTTTGAGCAGTGTAGAGTAGCACTTGTTGTTTGTCGTTTCTCCGATCACAAATGCAGACATGGTTTTATGTTTACTCGGCGCGATGCAACGCAGTGTGTAAAAAGACAGTATAAGTCATTATAATCTGAAATTATGTCCCCACTGGATGCAACAAATGCCTCGTTTATAATGGGTTTTACTGGTTTTGTCTAATCGCGCCGGGACACGGCATCACAATATGGTAGGGGCGTAACATTTCCGTCACACGCTTGATCGGCCAATCACAACGCACTGGATAGCTGGCCAATCAGAGCACACCTCACTCTTCAGACCAATGAGCTTTGTAAAAATCGACGCGTTTCACGGGGCATGGGGCATAGAGGAGAAACAATAATGTACAGTATGTGGAAAATAATGTTTTTTTTTACCTTATAATCACATTTCACCAAATAATGTTCTTTTTTAGCAACGTCATATGACCCCTTTAACGATATACTCATTATGATTTTGCTGCCGATATAAACGTAAGTAACACTGAAAATCACAATGATTGCATGTTATTTTTCTGTCTTTGGACTAGTTTTCCAATCCTTCAAAAAACTAAAAATTCTTTCTGTGATCTACTTTAAAATGTCTATTTCAATTGATGATCAGTTCAAAATGACCACATTTCTCTTCACAACATTTTCATAGATTTTAGTAAAATATATGACGATAAATGCTAAACAGAACAGTGTCGTTCAATATCATTTATAAATGCTGCTGTTTACACTGGTGAACAAATAAACATATATTTATAAATTATGAAATATTATACTGCATTGTGTTCATTTAGAAAAACTGTGTAGAAAAGTTGTTTTGATTATGTCCTCTGATCTGATTCAGGGTTTAGTTTTCATTATATTCAATACACATAAAATAAACAAACAAATAAAAAAACCCTTTTAAGCAAATACATAAATAATATATATCTGAGTGAGTAAATAATGACTATTGATGAAAATAATTAATATTTTCAAAGTCCAAAAAACTCAATATAATTAAAACAAACTGTAAATAAATTAATGAATCAAGCAAAAAATAAATAAATCATTTTAGAAAATACAGAGCTGTATACTGAATATCACCAACAGCCAAAAAAAAAAAAACATGAATATACTAGCTGTGCACTAAATATCTGTAAATAAATAAATTAATCAAGCAAAAAATAAATAAATAATTTTAGAAAATACAGAGCTGTATACTGAATATCACCAACAGCCAAAAAAAAAAAAACATTAATATACTAGCTGTGCACTAAATGGCTTACAGTATCTTCATTGATCTTTTCTATTTCAAATTACTTCAAGAACAGTGGAATATAAAACATCCTTTTTCTTATATATGCACATCCCACAAACTTTCATAATATGTATCTTCACTGAGAAACACAACCACACAACCACACAACCACAACACAAAATAAAGAAACAAAGGGTAAAAAAAAGGGTACTGGACATGCTGTCTCAATGACTGGTGAGAACGGCACCAGAGAGACTGACACAATATCGACAACACGACTGCCGTTTCTTCAGAAGTGAGCCGCAGCTTCTGCCAGTGGTAAACACAAGAACTTCACATGAAAGAAACAGGAGCCACTAATGTTAACATGAAGAAGGAGCCCGTCTAAACATGCAAACGGGCAAATCTGACAAAACAAGTGAAAGATACAGAACCGTCCTGTCAAATAAGGCCTGAATGTCTGAAACAGTTAAGGGGTCAAACCTGGTGCGTGAAGAGCATGTAAGCATGAATCTTTCTATCTCAGCATACATACTGCATACATTCTCAGCAAACTAAAGCATTTTGTCCAGGGAGGCGTTCAGACTCGGCTGATTGTTGCTTCCAGATGAACGTCAGTCTACAGGCGTGTGCCGCGTCTCCTGAAGCGTAGAAGTCAATTCGAGACTTTTGAAGTCAAGCTCGGGTAATTACAGGCAAACACAGCACTTCATCTCCATAAACACCTGGTGGAGCGGTTGTCATGGCAACCGGAACAGTCATCCTGTGTGGTCTAGATAAGGTGGACCACTGCTTTGAATCTGCGCTCTGATAAGGTGTGGTCCAGCTACACAAAGCTGAGCTGTATTCAGTCAA